AAATATTTGAGATCTTGAAAGTTAAACGATTGTTTGATTTTGGTCTCTTAAAGAGCCACTGTTAAATGTTGTGCTCCTATTTTCTGTGCTGTTTACAGAATTGTATGTGTCTGGATTTAAAGCATGCCAATTGCTATATGTTTTTTATTCTCTTTCTATTTGTGCTCTATAAGAAACAAATTCCATTTGACAGAAACTCCATTAGGAAAATTAAAGTCCAGTTCCTTTGCTTTAATCAAAGTTTTCTACTGAATAATGTTCAGGGCTTCCTTTAACCTTTAATACTTGATTAATAAATAGGCAGAAATCTTCCTGAATGACTAATCTATACCTGCCTTGGTAATTTGCCCTCCCACTCGCAGCACAATTGACTTGGCAAGATTTTTACAACCTTGTCTTTCTTTCTCAGTTGACATCCGAAGAAAAGAACTCTGCTGTGTGCTCTATTGAATTGTCTTTCTTTTTGCTATTCCTCCACAGTACATGAGTGAGTAACGTTCTTACTGTGTGCGGTGCCTGGCTGGTGGACTTCTTTGGCTTTGAAATGTTGCATCTTGATTGTTCAGTGTGTTACCAACATATGACAGATTTTTGCCCTCTGTTCCCTTTTTAACTTGCAAGTTTCTCAGGAATCTTTATTCTTTCTAATAGCCTGCTCTAACTAAAAACCCATTTGCCTCCCCCGTCTCTTGATTTGTTTTTTTTTTTTTTTTTTCATAATTCTAGTCCTTCTTAAAATGCTTTCTGCATATACTTTGTTGCTTAATGACTACATCGCCAAGTATAAATGAAGCATGTCAACTTACAGTCTTTGGCAATGGTGATGTTGCAGATGCAAAGTCTGTGCAAATTGACTAAAAATCTCAAAAATCAGATTTGTGCATGTGTTGGAAAAGATCTGAAGAAAATGGTCAAAATTTTCTTAGTGAATTGTCCAAAGCTGTGCTCTTCATCCTGCGTATGGAGTTTGATCTCGCTTTCTTGCCCCGTGATATAAATCCATAGTTAATTTTGCTGATATTCAATGGCATTACTTCCTCCTTATTTTGGTACAAATCAGAGGAATGGCTCTTGCTTTCATTCTTAGAGGAAGTGATTTGATTTTTCCGGTCTCTGAAGCTACCAACATCTACCATTTGGGAATACTTCTGAGAGCAGTTAGCTCTAGGATCTTGCTTTACTTTTTCTGCAACATGTTTTGCTTACTCTGACTGTGATAGGAAACAATCAGTAATTTCTTACTGTGAGGAACTGGGAACTTAGGAAGAAAGTGAAACATTCGTCTAAAGGCTGCAGTATGAAGCTGAAAAGGGTTGATAGGGCAATTTTTAATCCCCCCTGCATGCTTTTAAGCTTAGGCACCTTCTTAAGACTTGCTAATAAATCTTGCTTACTCAGCCGACATCCTTACTAGCTGATGCAAAGCCATAGCAAACTTGCTGCCATCCTGTCAGGACTGAAAATAGGCAAACTAGAAAACCAGGCAGAAAAGTAAATACTAAAGGTCAGATCAATCTTGAACCTGAATCAAGCTTTACTTTCCCTGTGACCTGGAAAGCATCTGGAAGATTTTTGTTAGGCTGTCTGGGAAAGAGGATACCTCCAAGAGGCCACCTCGTGTGGGAGCACAGTTACCGATTAAAGCACATTTCCCAGCTGGAGTTTGGTAAAAGCCCTTCCTGAGAGCCCTTCAGGAGCAGTATGATATAAAATAACTTTGTATTGGGTTACATCTTCTTAACCTTTTTTATCTTCAGGGTTATTCTTATGTCCACATATGAATAATGTGGATATGTCTATTGGATTTGTGGCAGAAGGACCTCTGATACTATAAAACGCTGAATTTATCTATGTGGTGATTGATACAGATGTGTTTTGTCCTGTCACATTCCAGTCTGAGCACTATACATGCACAAAATTAGTTGCAGTGGGCCCTGAAACTGAAGCATGGAATAAGTACTTTTTATTTGGTTATTTATTTCTTGTTACCTTGCCGTTTGCTGCATACATACTGTTCTTTGCCATCATGACTGGTTCTAAAACACGGCTTGGGATTGTGTGCCCATGTGCCCAGGCAGTCACAAGAAACTAAGTGCCATAGTGGAAAAATATCTCTCTCTGTTTTCCTTCAGTAGATCTTTGCTATGAGGGTGGCCGATGGGAGAAGGTGTTCTGGAGAAGGCCATACTCGAGGCTGTAGCCTTCATCTATTTCTGCAGATGGCAGATACGTGCTGCGTGCCATTTGCGCTATTGGTGGAGTCTGTTCTGCAATGGATGGCCATTTCATTTCTGTGTGACTTGGAACAATTGTGTTTGTACAGATAACAGAAATTAGACTAGTTATCCCAGCTTTTCCTCTTGCACTCCTGTATTTCTTATTCATTCAAATTACTTACCATTGATGGCTTCCCACCATCTCAACCATTACTTCACTTGCAGGTGAAGCAGCTTTTCTCTTGGAAATTAAAGTTAAACTTCTGCTAGAGAATTCCCTTGGTAGGACTGTTAGGCCTCAAAATAGACTGAGGCATCTGATTTTTTTGTTACTTTTGGTATCTCCTTTCCCATTCATCCTGATGTCTTGTTTTTCTTGAACTTCTCAGTATCACTCAAAAGGGATAAAGTTCTTTCTAATCGTGCACTAGGAGATGGAGAGGCTGCGTGTAACAGTGTTAGCAGATCAGCACCAACAATGAAGGAAACAAGAAAGGAGATCTTGTGAGACAAGTAAGAAAAGACAAAGAACCACTGACAGTCTAAAGCTTTGCCTAAAACCAGTTGAGCCCAGGGGGCCAGAAGGAAAACTAACACATAGGGAGAACACCACCATGTTTATTCTTATAATTTCTGCGTTTTTAAAAAGTGTCGCTGAGCTCAATAGGCAACTTTAGTACCTGGACAAGAGGCGGTTCTGCTGTGTTAAATGGAAAATCTGTATTAATGAAAAAGCAGGAAACTGTTTGGAAAGGTAAGGTTAAAGGAGGGAGACTTCAGAGAGCAAGAAACTTGGAATCATAAAAGGAATGGTTGCTGTATATATGGATTTGAAGATATAAGTTGATGCAGGTGCCTTGAGAAGACTGGCATTGGCAGACAGGCCTTCTGTGTGAGTCTGCTTTGAGAGGAGTATCTTTGGCCTGAATCTCTAAATTGGGAATACATTCACAATGTACATACGTGTCACTTCATAGCTTACAAGCTTCATCTCAAAGTAGGAGCCAAACCCAATGGTTTTGCCTGACTCTGAGAGAATCCATAATTTCTCCCGTAGTTGTGTCCTGTGCATTGCTGTCTGGATTAATTGATTTAAAATGCTGTTTAAGTCAGCTCTGGACAGATACCTGTCACCTTACTGCTTCCCTTCCAGGAAAAGGAATTGAGCATGTTCCCCGTCGTTTTGTCCCCGCATCTCTCTCCTGTGTTGTGTTATGTTTTTCCAACATGCTATGATCAGTTCCATCCTTCTTAGCCCCCTTTTGATAAGATCAACACCTCTTTTTGTTGCCAAGCCCCTGCTCCCGGCCTCTCTGTTCATCCAAGGGAAAAGCCCTTGTTTGTGCAGCTGAGAAGCTGAGGATGATACCTCTGCAGTTGGAGTGCATCTTCTTTGGCAAATTGGACCTTTAAAATTGAGCATTCCTCGTAGAGATGGGAAGGTTTCAAGTACATTTAAAGCTCATGTTCCCACCCAGTTTTCCCTTTCAACTGACCTTCTTCTGGTCTTCAGTGATACAACAGCTGCCTCTTGGGTTTCCTTCCCCTCCTGGTTGCTTTAGTGTGTTGGCTTGTGAAGTTTTTCATGGGGAGTAGAATTTGTCCCATTTTGAATAAATAGTTCCAAAGCCACTAGACTATTTTATTATTTATATAGGTCAATAAAAAAGATTGATATTATTACTGTGTATGTAACAACACAACTTAAGATTTTCTTTGGCTTTCTGAGTGTAGTAAGTCTTTTATACAGCAGTATTCCAGAGTATGTACTTTTGTGTGGTTATGAGCATGTTTTATTTGGATAATAAATAATAAAATCAATGTTTGAACTCAAAACATAAAATACAGATGTAAAGTTTTTGTAAAGGTGTAGCTGTGGCGGGGGCACAGCTCATTCTAATGTTAGATTATAACTGCTGTTATTTTAACAAGTTGAAATGGCTGGATTTGTCCATGTGAAGCAGATTTTATCAGTGCTGTTCTACTGAAGTGGATTACTTATAGCAAATCCTCAGAATGTTCTTTATCTTCTTGTTCTGTGAAGAAACCCTTGTAAAAGCTAAATAATTAAGCTCATTATTGAAAACCTGGTTAGTATGACTGCAAAATCACTCATCCACCAGATTAATAATTGAGATTAACTTTTTACCCTGTCTATCTGAATTTCTTTGAAGGATAATGGGAACCACAGGAGTTGCACTGCTGAGAATGCCATGTCTGATTTGAAATCTGATAGTTGAAATAATTAATTGGTAACTAGACAGCTGTTTAACCCAAGGGCAAGTTCTGATGTCTGTCACTGTAGTGGCTCCATGTTTTCTGGTTTTGCTTAAGCTCTTAAAGGCTGTAAGTATTCTTGAGAAATTAACAGGAGTTGTATACCTAGCTCTAGCATCTTGGGCTTCCGATGACCTCTTCCATTTCTTCCCACTACACAAAGACTAACAAAGACCTCCCCAGTACAGGGAGATGAGAGGGGGAAAATGGCAGGTTTTCTTGGTTTTTTTTCCTTTTCTTTCTTTAAAAAAAAAAAAAAAAAAGTTTGATTTTCAGTGGGTCATATTAAGCTTTTGCGCTTTGAGTAGGAGCGAAAGAACTGCATGCTATTTTCCAGTGGCTCCTTAGGGAGAGCAGCACACAGTGGGTGAGGATGTCCTCGATGACTATGACCAGCTGGTCAATAGCTGACCTCTAATATCTTGAAGCGATAGTGTTATTTGCACACAAAATTGTGCAAATGCCTTTCTGAGGCTGACAGACTAGACTATGAGCCACTGAATTGAGCACCTGATTAATGTTGTCTTTTCTTGTGATTTTTTTATTTGCTTTTTTTCTCTGCTGCCTTCCTTCATCCTTTTCCCGCTTAACCCAGAAAAACTGATAGAGGGACTCAAATCTCCTGAGACTGCGCTTCTGCTCCCTGATATCCTGCCTCTCGCTGACCCCTTCGGTAGCACGACAGATGCTGTGAATGGTAAAAATAAACTCAGGGCACCTTCTCCCCTCTGTCTAACATGGCATGTCTTGTCCTGCATAATAACTCTGTGTGTTTACCCCCACTGGGCTCTCAAAACAGCCACTGATGTCAGTGAAACGCAATGTGATAGGAAGTTATGGATTATGCTGAGACAGATCTGCTTTTTCCCCATGAGACTAGCATCTGAGCAGTGAAGAGTGAAGTGATATTTGCATTTAACATCTAGGTTTGCCCATTTGGCACAATAACATGGCATGATTGTGCCTTGTGTGTACCTTCTGGTCTTGGTAGAAGAAAGTTAATTGTTGACTGAAGAAGATGCAAAAAATCCCTCTGCTGAGGACTTGATGTGTATCCATGGCCTGGGCACTGAGCATCTCTTGTCTCTCCATCGACCCTCAGCAGGATGAGGACAGCGTTGCATTTGACCTGGGGCATATGCTGAGAATAAACATGCTGGGCTGCGATGTGCCCAGATGCAACAGGCTCCAGGCAGTGTAAAGATTTCAGAGTGTGGAAGAATTGTATTTTCACCTACTTGCCAAATGTACTAAAGACCAATAATTTCAGGCTGCGGTTAGTTGCAATGAGCTGCTGTTGTGGTTGTGGGTCCCAGCAAGGGTCCCCTGGCTAGTTGGTTGCAGCCTTGTAGCTTTGAGTAGGTAGGAAATTAATCACCTTAATAGTAAGACTTTCTTTTCTCCCTTTTGCAATTTTTGGCAGTTGTCTGAATACTCTTAGATAATGATCCTGCAAATCACAGGCACCACACACACTGCTATGCCAACAAAAATACTCATTAATCCTTCTTAGGCTGACCAATTAGACCATTTCTGGTCCTAGCATTTGAGTGCGTCCTTGTTCTTTAATTTAACTTCTTGGTTCTTACCTTGATATTGGTCCTTGAGGAAGAGACCCAGACATGCATTATACTTGGCAAGTATGACTGTCACAGTTATCTTCCATGTCTCTCTCCCTCCCCTTTATGGTTTCTATAAAGAGAAATCCTTCTATCCAGCCTTTGTAAACATCTCCTTTGGTATTCACATAATGGACATCAACATCAGATGATCCTGGGGACTGATGTTTTCAATAACATGTTGAGTTCCAAAATTTGATCAGCTCTTTGTTCCACTGGGCACTCAAAATGGGGGAAAAAAAAAACCAAAACAAACATGTCTTGGCTTTTTACAAGTTTAACTGGAAATATGCTAAGGACTCCACAGTAGATATTTTAATGATCTCTTACTTTTAATGCAAGGGGACTCCATAAAGGTCAGTGTTTTCCTTTTTGCTGGAAAAGGATTTTGCAAAAGCTCGTAGTTATTTGTCCAGCCCCAAGCCTTCTGTTTAGCTTCAGTGCAAGCATTAATTAACCTCCCATTCTACCCTCTGGATATTTCAAATTGGGCTTGCACAAATACAAATAAATAAATATAACACAATAAAACTCAAGCCCAACAAACACTAATGTGTTACAATCTTCCCTCATGATTAAATTAACATTGGTCTAACTTCAGCCTCTCATTGTGGCCAACGTGGCTGACATACTAAAGGGTCACTAAAGGATTCAGACAACTGCCACCTTAGTTCCTACTTATGCTGTGTCTTGCAAACTAATCTCTGGCTTCTTCTCTGCTCTGGTATTTTGCACATTTGGAAAGGAAAACTCGACGTAGCTGTTGAGAGTCTCATACCGGGCCTCGAGGCTCCATTACCCCAACGCCTTGTGTCACAGACTGAGTCGATTGCATCCAACAGAACAGGTTGGTGAGGCAGGAGGGTGTTGGGGGGCAGGGATGCATCGTACCCACGTGGGCTATGTAAATCAGAAGGCACTATCTGCTTGAACATAAGCATCTCCGCTGCTTTTCCCACCAGTGTAAACTGGGCTTGTTTGTGTGTCTGGGAAGTGGTTGCTGCATGGTTCCTTGAAGGTCAATGTCACTTTTCTCCTTGTGAAAAACAGTACAGTATTCCTTCAACCCACTGTTACAGATCAGTAAGTGCCAGAGTATTGCTCCAGTGAAATAGTTTTGAAGTCTGGAGCAGCCACTGATTTGGGTCTGTTCTGGTGGGGCATGTTGGTAAGCACTTCAAGTCCCTTCTTAAATGTGAAGGCCTTAATCTGGCCACTTTTGCAGCAGATCGACTCAACCTCTTTTCAGAGGTCTCTGAGTTTTGCCACCGCAGTTTTGCTGGAGAGTCTCTGCAACTCTTTCCTTCCCCATGCTCCCCTTCACTCCCCCTACTTTAACCTGTCCCTCGCGTGGGATTTTGTTGTTGTGTATGCAGCTGTAGAGGGCAGTTAGCCCCAGAGAACATGTTAAAGTTGCTAAAGGTGTTGGGAATAGCTCTGCCCTCACTGCAGAGCAGTAAGAAGTGTTTTCTGTCATTAAAAAATGGTAGCTTTTGTGGTGGCTTTGCATCAAAGCTCTGTTTGTACGCTAAGCGGACGGGAATAGGAATGTGAGAGTATGAGCTTAACCGTGTTTGTGTCCTGTTTAATGCTACCTTGTGGCCTTTGGATGTGAACCTGGATTCAGACTCTCTCACTGGGGAGGACTCTCTGCTTGACTGTTCTCTGCTTTCTAACCCTGCTGCTGACCTCTTGGATGAATTTGCTCCCGTAGCTTTCTCAGCTCAACCTCACAAAGGTAAACTGTCCCTTTGTCTCTAACACCTAATCGGTCCTGGGATGCAGACTTTAGCTATTGTGAAATGAAGCTGATAACTGTTTACACAGGACATGCTCTGATCTGTGTTCTGGTGGTGTGGGGTTTTTTTGCCCAAGCCATTGTTTGTTTTCTTCCCAAGCTGGTGAAACTTGGAATGCACGTTGAAGTACTAAAGGAAGAATAGAGATAAAAGTATTCAGCCTGACTGTAAAGACAAGGCTTGTCAGGACAAGTGGCATCTTCCATAAAACTGGGATACAGCAGAAAGGATACAGTAGGTATCCCAAAGGGTGGGCTTTTGTGTGCAACCCTTCAGGTTTGTAAGTGAATGCACTCTGGTTTTGCTTTTTGCACATGGGATTTATGACCTGCTTTTATGCTACGTTATTAATTCTGGAAAGGAGCCTGATAGTCATCTCTACTGATATCACAGGTTTTTGAAATGAAAGGAATTTTTTGTTTGTTTGTTAGAGTTAGTGTCAGAGAGATGTGACTGAGCTCTTTCAGATCTGGAGAATATTTTCCTTTTCAGAAGTTATCCAGAGAAGGTTCTGGAGTCAAACAGTAGTGTCACAGCAAAGGTGAATTGAAGTTGCAATATCCAACTGAAAAATGGAACAGTTTCATAGTAACACAGGAAAGCAGAGCTGAGGAGGAGAAGTGACCATGTGTGTTAATTTGCAAGAGGTGTACATCAGCCCTTGCAGTTGTAGTACATCAGTATTTGAGCTTCAGTAGACTTGTGGAAATACTGTGGAGTAATCGAAGTTCTGTTCTCTTTCCACTAACAAGCAAGAGTAGAGGACGCTGGGAAGCTGGGCCTTAACTGGGATGGCTTTGTTTTCCAAGCTGTATGCTAAAATCTGGGCCCTCTCCCTGCAGTGTGGCTGGAGCAGTGGCACTGGAGTAGACTGAAGAGCTATCAGCTGGAGTGTGACTTACATGTGAACTTTTCCTGCTCTGTTCTGACACATCCCTACCATGGGCTAAGCAGTTATGAACAGTGCATGTGTCCCTTGGGAACAGTACCAGATGTTAGCCAATGACTCTCACATATGCCAAGCTTGTAGTGAATATTGGGTGGTACACGTCTTAAGGGTCTGGAGCACAAGTGAGATGAGTTCGTTGCTGAGGGAACTGGGGTTGTTGAGCTTGGAGAAAAGGAGGCTGAGGGGAGACCTTCTGGGTCTCTCCAGCTCCCTGAAAGGAGGGTGGAGAGAGGTGAGGGTGGGTCTCTTCTCTCAAGTAACTAGTGATATGACAAGATGAAATGGCCTCAAGTTGTGCCAGGGGAGGTTCAGGTTGGAAAAACTTCTTCACCAAAAGAGTTGTCAAGCATTGGAACAGGCTGCCCAGGGAAGTGGTGGAGTCACCATGCCTGGAGGTGTCTCCAGGAAAAAAATGTGTAGACATGGCAATTCAGGACATGGTTTAGTGGGCATGGTGGTGTTGGGTTGACGGTTGGACTTGATGATCTTAAAGGTCTTTTCCAACCTGAATGATTCCATGATTCTACCTGGGTGGGAGGGAAGAACAGGACTTCTGTGCTATTTACTGTCTTGAAAAGGGAGGCCCAGGGCACAAATGCTGGACGCCCCCTGACGATGGGTTTTGTTTAGCTCATTTGATAAGTATCCCTGTAGCAACAGAAAGTGATCTATCCTTAGAGGAATCACTATAAAAACAGTCTGTAATCAATTTTTACACTTGATGGCATTTCCAAATGAGTTTGTGTTATTCATAGAGCTTTTGGGTTTAAACAAGCAGTTGTTCTAATTGTTCATTGCTATAATACACTTCCATGCCACTTTATTTTGAGTAAATGGCTTGACATGTATGTCAAACAGTTATTACTCCATGTCTGGAGCATAGCAAAGCCAAAACTTTGTTGGTGTGACTTAATGAGAAAATGAATTAACAGACTCCTGCATGACTTCTCCCAGGTTGCCCTGCTGTTCCCTCTGAGATGAGAAAGGCTCACATTTGACAAGGAAAGTGAGAGTAGAAGGAGTGTTGAGGGAGGCAAAATATTAAAAACTTCCAAAACTCATTTATGGTTTTCACACCCTGTTTTTATAGCTCTGGGTATGCATCTGTGTGTGGTGGGGTTTTTTGTTTGTTTGTTTGTTTGTGTTTTTTTTTACTTTGTTTATCCAGTCCTGGCTTTGGTGATGTAAAGCACCTGTGGGGTAGCTGCTGCTATCTGTGAGTATAATCAGCCTGTGGAACTGCAATCCTGCAAGTTATCAGTGGGGCTTGAAAAAGCAGCTGTGGTCTGGGCATGGATTGATCCTCCAACCATGCCATAGCATCCTTTCCTTTGTGCTTTACTAGGTTGTTTTCTGGCCACTGAATTTTTGCTCAGCCTTCAGGATTCCCTAATTTGTATTTGCTGAATAGAACACCAAGCTGCACGTATGCGAGAGGGGAGAATTCTTCTACTTATGGTGATATATATAGCTCACTAAGGTGAGCTCAAACACTTCAAACACTTTTGAAGTAATTTTGCCCAAAGAGGAACATCACCAGCCTTTCCCTCTCCTTAGGAACAGTAGTTCATAATTGAGCAGTGCTCCTTCAGTAGCTGCTTGTACAGCAAGCTCCAGAGCTCTGAGCAATTGTGTGCATCAATGAAATGAAATGGAAATACAGTGCTTGCAAAGGCTCCCAAGTAGGTTGAGAAGAGCCACAAGTAAATAACTCCAGAGGCAGAGTGATGACAAGATGAGACTTTCCATTAAGATGAAACATCTTTGTATTTTTGACACTTTACAACTGGTCTTCTATAAAATGTGTGGGGCTTTTTTCTGGGTCTGATCCTCCAGAGGACAGTGTATTTCCACAAATGGTTTCTCACATCATCTCACCCAAAATCTGTGAGCATATTTGTCAGCTTTAGGTAAAGAGCTTTTGTTCTTTATAGGAATCAAACAGGAATGTTCCTTGGAAACCATCAGCTTGTACATGTCCTTGCTAGGCTTTCAGAAATTTTCATGTAGTAGTAAAGGACCAGATTCTGGAAGGTATTTTAGGTGTCTAAAGTAACAAGTAGTGATGCACAGTGAGTGTGTGGAAGTCCCTAAAGGTATGTAATTGCCTGATAAGGCAGATAAATGTCTTGTCTATTGTGGAGGTTGTTGGAAATGTCTAACTGCAGTTGATGTGGTTTGAAATCAATGGAATTATGTGGCAGAACTGCTCTAGGTGGCCTTTAAAAAATTTCTCTCTGTATCTAGTTACATCTTCAGGTATTTAAACTCCTTGGTAATCTGACTTCATATTGCACTACTTTTTTTTTTTTTTATGGCTGTAGGTGAAAGCTCAGGGGTTTTGTCTCATGTAGATGACTGGAATTTCTTCTGTGTTTTGTTTTGTTTTGTTTGTTTGTTTGTTTTTTTTCCCCCTGCTCTTTTCGTCTCCTTGTGACTGAGCTGGTAACTGGAGAGCCAGATTGCTCTCTCAAACTGTAATAATATCAGACAGCCACTGGATGATGACAAAGAATACCTTCAATCCTTGGGAATTTAAGCCCCAGGCTTTTACCACAGCTTTGAACTATGCCAATTGTTAAGCCTACAGATTGACCAAATTTTATTTTGGTTCTCATGACTTGGCTTGCTTTTCAGTTTGTTTCCACACATCCCCCCCTCCACTTTTGTATTTAATCGCCTCTCTTACTTCTTATCTTCTTACCAAAGACTTACCAACTTAGTTTTGTCTTTTAATTGAAACTCCTGCTTCTGAACCCCATCTCTGAAAACATAAAGATGTTCTAACACTTTTTAGCAATTCTAACCAGCCTTCTTTGCTATCTTTGCTTCTTTTCTGTTTTGCTGTTTCTCCTTTATGCTGCAGAAGATACTAACCTGATATCAGGCTTTGATGCTCCTGAGGGCTCTGAAAAAGTGACAGAAGATGAGTTTGACCCAATTCCAGTGTTGATATCCAAAAATTCACAAGGTAAGCCAGGATTTGGGCATGAAAAAGGGAAGAAAAAGAGGAAAACATTGAACATAAATTAGTTCTGGGGCAGTGATGCTGCAGCACATGTGAAGTAATGCAAATTGTAAACTGTAAGATACTATCATTGTAGCATTTAGTGAGCTTAGTGTTTCTCTGATTTATACTGGCCTTGAAATTTTTCTAGATTCTGTGTTTGGAAGAAGCTTGTGTGTCCAAGAAGATAATAGACATGTGAGCATCTTTAGGTCCAATGAAGTAATTTCTACCAGTCTGTTAGGCAGGGCACACAAATACCTCTGTGGCTAAAGTGCGATGGAGAACTGCGTTCTCCAACGTTCTTATTGACTGTTCAAGCCAATGGAAGGACGTTCTTCGACTTTTCAATGAACTTGGCATGAAGCGCAAGAAAGGGAGGTGATGATAATCCTTTATAACTCTGAAACTCCTGCTGGAAGTCTTTTTCCACTTCTGACTGATGACTTTCAAAGGTGCCTGTGGGAACTGAGTGTGAGATGTTTGGCAGGTGGTACCCACCTCCTTTGAAGAGCTTTGAGCAGCAGTCAGAGTCATTAGGACAGAGACTGTAAAGTTTCTCCTTTTTACAGCATTCTTGTCACCTAGATCACACTAACATGGATCTTTGCAAGCAGTTTCAGTCTTATATAAAGTTAAGTCTAAGAAACAGCACTGTTGCCTTAAAAGAAATAATAGTGCTGTATTTTGTAGGTCTGGTAAGGACAGAAGTAAGTGTTTTGCAGTCTGGTCAGTCAAATAGGTTTTGGGTGTTTTGTTTTGTGTATTTTTTTTTTAATTTTAGGTTGATGGTAGAACTTTTTTTACTTCCCTAACTCCTGTTTTTGTTTACAGCATGCATGTGCTGTGCACCTGCTCTGCATCTAGTGCTAGCTTTCAAAGACTGACACTCATTACAAAAAGTTCTCAGACATTAGAATCTCTGTCTGCTGAAAGTCAGAGAAGGTTTCTACCAAAGTTGGGCCAAGATAGGCTACCTTGAATGAAAAGGAGCATCTTTCCTTCTATATCAAAGCACCAGTTACAGAAAGCCACATGATAGCTCAAGTCTTCCTGAAGTAGCTGGCAACTCAAAAATACTCTTAAAACACGAAATAATTTTCAAGATTTAAAACTTTAAACACCCCTTTCTGTAGGTTGTGGGAGTTCTTATAGTTGCTTTATAGATCCTTTCGTATGGAAAGAATTACACAGCTTGGATGTAAACTCTGGGAAAAATAAGTGGTTTGTAGAGACTTATGGGCTGCCATGATGTTTTTCCATGCAAGTCTAGTGAGCTAGGTTTGGGGGGTGGGGAGAGGGTGGAAAAGCAAGCAGGGGAATGTTGTTGCTATTGCGATGCAAGTAATGAGAAGAGCTTGAGCAATTTTGTGTTTTGCTTTGACTTTTTTTCTTGCTTGCTTGCTCTTGAACATCTGAAACTGTCGTGTGTGTGTGTCCTGTTCAATACTGAATTCCTATCTCTCACACTTTCAGGTGGGCATTCTAGAAACAACAGTGGAAGCTCTGAGTCCAGTCTTCCCAACATAGCCAGGTCTTTACTGCTGGTGGATCAGCTCATAGACCTGTAGCAGTGACACAGTAGCAGACGCAGTTTCTGTAACGTACCTAATCCTCCGTTTTCATTTCCAGAAGAGTTACCTTCAGTTGTGGTTCTTTTGGGCTTCCCCCCCCGCCCCCCTCCTTAATTAAAAGAAAAACAAATCTGCCAACAGGAGACAGTCACCCACCTTTCTCCCTGTCTTCCCATGCCCTGCAGAAGATTCTCTCTCAGTTCTCCAGGTAGTCTTCTCTAAAGTTGGTGGTAAAAACCTGTTGTGGTTCCTTCTGCACTGTCTTTGCTAGCCTATGTCTAAAGGGAGCACCGTCCTTAGCTGCCCTGCTGACATGTACACATAGCACCATGGAAAGCCTAACTGTAAATTAATCAGATAATCGTAGCTGATGTATGATCCATGTGTACAACAGACTCCTTTCTCCTTAGAGTAGTGCGTGAACAACTGTGTTTCAATCTTTGCATTTGTGTTTTTTGGATTTGGTTTTTGTTTTGTTCCTGTTTTCTAATGAATGGGCAGGAGGAAGGGGACGGGTGAAATGGGTAGGGACATCCCTCTCCTGCAGAATACAAGTTAGGAGAGCTGATGTTTCTGAATTGCCAGTATATGCTTCAGAGGAGGAAAAAGCACTGAACTCCTCTGAAGTAAGTCTTGCCTAGTACCTCTGGTGATGGTGCATATGAAAAGAGTTTTCTGGACTGCCCCAGCTAATGGTTTGCTGTTTAACAATCCTGCTTGTGAATGAACTGCGCTTCCCTGGGGGAGGGGGAAAAAAAAAGAAAACAGATTGTTAAAGCTGCAAAAATGACCCTAAGTGAAATATAACAAGGTTTTGAACCAAATACATGTGAGTATGGCTGTGACTACCATTTTGTTGACTTTTTTTTTTTGGATGAAAAGGGCATTGTGGCAGCAGCAGATGTATTTTCTGTGACTTCTTTTCTGTGTTTGACTGGAAAAAAAGAAAATCCCCCCAACCTACTGTAAATTGTATATGAAACAATTTGTCCTACGGTTGTTTGTCTATTTTTAATCCTGGTTTTAGTCAAGCATCTGTTATCTGTTCTGGGTTCCTCGTTTTCTCTTGTAACTGCATATAGTGCAAACCAGTTGAGTATGGAACCATTTGTTTCAGTAGACAAAGGTTACTGTGGACTTTATTCCACTCTTCAGTCTTTGTGGAACAAGCATGCACTTGGTTCAGATGATTTGAAATAAGTGCTGCTACAACTTGATGGGTTTTACCTTTTCTTTTTCCCTTCACATGCTTAGTTTGTCAACTAGCTGGATACGCTAAACTTGTTTTCATTGGCTTATGGTCATGAAGTCCGGAATTTTACCTTGTATTTGAAAGCTCTTTCTGAACAGAAGGACTCTTCCTCTGTAGTGGAATAATTACTAGCTTACTGCTAACCTTGTGTATGTGTACGTAGCTGTATTAGTAGAAGTGCAGTTTCCCATGTGCGAAAGTATGAACGACTGAAATATGTATGTACTGACCTCTCACTAAGAAGGAAAGAAATCAAAGTTTGTGACTGCTCCTTTCCCATCTCCAGTCTCCCTGCTATTCCCCCACCCCAACACTTAGTTTAACAAATTCTGTAAATAGAACTACCATCAATTGTGTCTGCTCTACATTACTCTTCTTTTAAAACCTCCACTTAATAATAAAAGTATTGCTTAAGTGTGTTGTATCATTACATGTGTATACTGCACTTTCCAAGAGAAGCTTTACATGAGAACTATGGAAATGACCTTAGTAAAATTATGGATAGAACTTTATTATTTTTTGTTTTATATTCCTAAAGCACAGGCAAGCTGGACTGGAAAACATGAAGACACTATAGATAGAAAGTTATTGTATAGTCAGATACTGAGATTATATGAAAAGAGAATGGATTTTAAAAAGTAACCACCTACTGTATATTAGAAACAAAGATTTCTGTGAATTAAAGTACTTTTAAAGAATGTTTAAGATTTTAAATCTAATGGCACTTGTTCAAGGGTTCTGGAAAAAAATATAAATGCACTGGGTTGTTAATATTGCTATTAAATAAGCAGATGTGAATGTTTATTTTATTGCTTTTTCCAGTAGCTGTTCATGGATCTGGGTGGGAAATACGATACAATGGAAGCATACATTTTTAGAGATGTCTGTTATCTAGACCTCCTTCATCAGAAAATACACACCACTTATTTGCAAAATGAATGGAAAATGCAAAATGAGTGGATATTTGGGATTAGTTTTAAGCTCTCAAAAAAATGTGACTGTCCTATGGGCGTTAGGTTTTAGTGTTGGTGGGCTGCTCCAAAGTTGAAGAGTTTGTATGAAAGCTGCTGCTGTGAAGGAACCTCAGCTGGTGTCTGCATGGGAGAAGTCTGGTACCCAGCATTCCTGAAGTGGTGTAAGAATGGTTCGCTCTTACAGCTGTGGTTGGAGCCTTGTTTGAAGCCATGGGAGATGTTTCTGTCCCCTTTTAAGGGTGGTAGGGTCAGGTGTTGTTAAGTAACAGAATACAAACCTACAGGCAGCAAAATCACAGCAGAGTGATTCTCCTCTCTACCTGGAATGTGCTCTTTGTTCATGTTGGGGTGACAGAGGAGCCTGGAGTTTGTAGCAATGTTTTTGGCATTAACTATTTTGATGGATCCTCCTTATAGGATACTGCAAATACAACCACAGTACACGGAGCAATTTCCTTTCAAGTCAAGGCTGTGCTTTGGATGCGAGAATAAGCTCAGGTTTTGGGGTGGCAAGATGTTGAAAGGAATAGCTGAAACTTAGATGATGGTTCTCGCTTACTTTGAGGGGGCTTGGGTTTTGAATTGCCCCCACCTTTGGAAATCTCCCCAGTTCATCTTCTAACTGGATAAGCACAAGTGTCACACCCACAATTCGGAAATCAGCAAATTTGTATTGTATCTGACAATATCCACTGTGGGAGTATCTGTCCTAAAACCTGAAGACATTGCAGCTTCCTGAATTCTTGCTGACCGAGTCTTCACAGGGTTTCGTGGGACTTGGCCTGGGCGGCAGGTGCTTTGCAACCTGCTGGAGAAGTCTGAGAGATGGGTGGAAAAATCTCAGCGCTGGTGGCTTTGTGGCAGATCTTCTGCATCTTCTAACATCCCATTTACCACAAGCGAATGGCAGCTTGAGTGAATCTCTGTATAGACCAAAATTATTTTTAGAAGGGGTTTCTTGTAGATGAATAATGATGATGTTCTTTAGCCTGAAAGCTTGCAGGATGTTGCTTCCAGTAACTTTCCAAAACTACCTTATTTAAAAATTGAATAATTTTTTTTTTTTTGTTATTACAGTGAAAGTTCAGATGCAATTCAGACCAAAGATAGAGTTCAGCAAGTTTTGGGGTATCCAAGCAAACACAAAATGTAGAGGATGTGAGCTTCTGCCTACAGAAAATGTCATCGAGCACATCTTGTACTGTACTAGCATCTGAAGTGTGTGTGTGTCTGTATGGAGGAAGTTAATTTCTTTTTAGCCAATACATTTTCTAGTTCAGGAACTCATGGGAATCGGTCAGAGTTGGGGAGTAGCTGGCATGGGTGTGGAGGAAGGGTGAATGTGACACGGGGACTGCTCTGATGAATGAGGCTTATTGGTCAACTCGCTGAACCAGTCATCGGGTGAGACTAGTTCCTGTGACTTCTCTTTGCTGAGGCGTGTGGGCATGGCACATTAAAACCACATCATTCCAGTAGGAAAGATAGACTTGGGGTAGTGGGAAAAAGGATTTTATTTGTATTTATTTTTTGTTCCTGTGTAGTCTATTTCCATAACTGAAAGAAGCTGTGCTCCGGGGACAGCCGTGCCTACGCACAGATCCATGCACAGCGTCAGATCTGGCTGTTCTTGGGAGGAAGGGTGGGCTGCTTGGCTGGGGTTGTTCTAAGGACATTGCTGAGTGTGAGCCTTGTGCTCCTGCCCTCCACAGGTGGGAGTTTAACCCCTAGAAACTCACCTGGTGTTTTTCTCAGATGGTCACAGACTGCATCTTAAAAATGACTTGCAGATGTAACACTTGGCTTGTGCATAGTACAAATGAGGGAAAAACCAAACAATGCTGTTAGTCTCCAGTGGGTCCATCGTGTTTGTAAACTGCTGGAATATGGTGTGCTGGGTTAGTGCATTTAACACCTGCCCTGTCTTACTTTGCATGGTGCAAATCACTGTACAAGTGGCAAAACTAGAACATTAAATTCCTGATCTTCTTGAACTGGAGACCCTAGATCTGCTCCCAGATCTACCATTGTGCAGAGACTTCGAGCAGAAACGCTTAATTCTCCTGTCCAAATTGGTGTTCAGTGGCATAGTAACAGTGATGCTGACGTTTGGTGTTCTGCTTTGGTACCTCCTCACTGGAAGCGCTGTATGGGGGTAGTTCTGTGTTGTTGTTCAATGATATTGCTTGAAGAAATTGAAATACAAGGGAAAACTGCACTGTTTCAACAACGAAGGAATGAGAAGTCTTTTAACCCCTTCAAATGCGAATCTTGCATACTAGTAATTGTGCTGATTTTTGTTGCTGTATGTTGTGGCCTTCCTGACTTTGGCTTGATAAAATCAGGAGAGTTATTTGGTGGAAGAGCAGCTTTAGACTTTAGGAATGCCTCTGCTTCCCCTGACTTTCTTGGTTTGGGCTGTGGTCCAGAAATGAGATCATCATCTTGGTGACTGCTCTGCTGCCTTTCAGCCCCCTGTAATAGGGAGAGTAAACGTTTTATAGCTTTCCTGTCAGTTATTTTCCCATTCCAGTGCACCGTTTTCCTGAAAAGATGAGGGGACTCCATGGGCCAGTGCTGCAACTCAAGGGTAAATGGTCTTTTCAGGTTGCTGTCTGAAGACACGCAGGGTGTGTTCCTAGGGTACTGAGTGATAAGTGTTTTTATTGCTAAGGTTCTCCACGTAGAAAGGGAGCCTGAATAGAGTTTAGGAATTGTTTCCGTAGTATATATATCTGGCCCCAGAATAAAAAAATAGACTAATGTTGTACAGGAGTAGGGGGAAACCTTATCAATGAACTCAAGCTTCTGTAAAGATTTTATGCTGCTTGGAGCCGTTAGGAGCGTGCATGTGTTTAAACCTGAGCATTAACTGAAAATGTAAGGGATGCTTCCCCATGAAGTAACACACCGATCTTGGGAGTCTGGAGGAGGAGGAGACAAAAGAGGCAGCTGCCCCTTGACAATGTCCATCTTATCTTAGGCAGATGTTAGGAAATGCTGCTGCCCCTGCAAAAGAAGCATCTCTTTTTGCATGAGAGCTCCTGGGTGCTTTGTGTGTCGCTTCAAGCAAACCATCTGCCTGTGTCTTTTAAGGCCTCTTGCATAGTGTGCCCTTGGTGTGAATGGGAGCTGAGTCATCACAGAGGAGGGGCAGGGCTTCAAACAAAAAGGCACTGTCTTAGTTTCATGAGATTTGTCCTTTGCCCTCATGCTGTTACCAGCTCGTGGAGTGACCCTTTCTCTCCTGTACTGTAACACAACAAAACTGCCATGCCTTTTAATGTGAAACAGTCCCTCGAGCGCTTCAGTCTCGCTGATCTCTGAGCTCAGACCTGCCAAAGCATCTGTCGGTGCTGGCTAACTTAAATTCTTTGTCGTCCTAAAAAATTATGCAGCATGTGCCTCTGAAACATTAATCTGCAAAGCCTGTAGCTATGGCTCCTTATGACCTTGGCTCCTTAGCTCTAACCTGACTGTTAC